TAAGTAATATAAGTATAATATATAATAAATATAATATAATAATAAAGCATTTGTTGGGGATTTTTATGAATTAAGTAATTATATTAATATCTCATCACATGACCAAGGAATATGACTACCACGAACAATCCAACGTTCAGGAAATTTGTATTTAGTTATGTTCTCACTGCCCTCTCTCTATAATGTGGTGGTGTACCATCTTGCATGAAAAACAATTCTTCCAATAAATCAACAAAATCATTTTATAAAAAATGTAAATAAATCTCACCATTCAAATTTCAAGATAATTCGCATGTCCGTAAAAAATAATTACCAATGGTACCAAACCATACGATATGCATTTTAAACATGAATATTAAATAAACGTATGGTTTGGAACCATTGGTAATTATTTTTTACGTACATGCGAATTACCTTGTAATTTGAATGGTGAGATTTATTTACATTTTTTATAAAATGATTTTATCGATTTATTGGAAGAATTGTCATCAAACTTAAGGCGAAATATGTAGTTTATGCAAGATGGTACACCACCACATTATAGAGAGAGGGCAGTGAGAACATACTTAAATACAACTTTCCGGAACGTTGGATTGTTCGTGGTAGTCATATTCCTTGATCATGTAGTGAGATATTAATATAATTAGTTAATGCATAAAAACCCCAAAAGAATACTTATTATTATACTTTTAATACTTCAACAAATACTGCAACAGTTTCTTTAGAATCAGTGATACTATTTAATATGAGTCGATTTGTAAAATGCGATTATCTCGAAAACTGTTGAGTTTTGAAGTTATTAAAAAGTATACCTCTTTATTGTTAAAATAATGTATCTTTAATATTTTTTATCACAAACACCGGTACCTTAAAGAGCAAAAAAGTTAAGTGCAAATGTATGCCACATATGTGACATATGTAGCGCCCTCTATCAGCTACATTAAATTATGCATCAAATATCATATAATTTCTGATGTTTAATAGTACCAGTTATGAATTTTGATACATAAACGTTTACAAATATGAAAGTAATAGCGAAAATTAAAATTTTAAATTTCCGCTTTAAACACCCTGTATCTTTCTTAATATTAATATTTTATTAAAGCAATTTGGCTTAAATCGTAATATTTTAAAGTGTAGAATCTACGGTTTTTGTGTATAATTACTTAAGGACCATTAGTTACCGTACTCCTCCGAAACGGCTTTACCGATCTTTACCAAATTTTATGTGCGCATTCAATAGGTCTGAGAATAGGCTACTATCTATTTTTCGTAGCCCTAAATGATAAGGGTTGTTCACCCTTATTTTTTTCTTTTAATTTTTCCACGAAATTTTTTATTTTTGTATTTTTATAATGTTGCATTAAAAAATACATACAACCCTAAACTTTTACTTTTTTATCATCAACCCCTATTTTTTATGGCTATTTTAGTCTAATCTAATATATAAAATTTCCCTGTCACAATGTTAGTTACCGTACTCCTCCGAAACGGCTTTACCGATCTTTACCAAATTTTATATGCGCATTCAATAGGTCTAAGAATCGGCTAGTATCTATTTTCATACCCCCAAGTGATAAGGGTTGTTCACCCTTAATTTTATTCTTTTAATTTTTTATTTCTGGTTTTTTTTATAATGTTGCATAAAAAAATACATACAACCCTAAACTTTTACTTTTTTATCATCAAACCCTATTTTTTATTGCTATTTTAATCTAATCTAATATATATAATTTCCCTGTAACAATGTTGTTAGTTACCGTAGGTACTCCTCCGAAACGGCTATACCGATCTTTACCAAATTTTATATGCGCATTCAATAGGTCTGAGAATCGGTTACTATCTATTTTTCATACCCCTAAGTGATAAGGGTTGTTCACCCTTAACTTTTTTTTTTAATTTTTCGACGAAATTTTTTATTTTTGTTTTTTTGTAATGTTGCATTAAAAATACATACAACCCTAAACTTTTACTTTTTTATCATCAACCCCTATTTTTTATGGCTATTTTAGTGTTTTTAAACTGTACTTCGATTAAAAATCTAAAATGTTTTTTAAACAAATAAACATTTATTTTTTATTATTAAAGTTTAATCCTAATATATGCCTATGATTCTTCAAATTTGCCGCACCTTTACTGGTGAGTGAAATGCCACACTATACCATAAACTGAAGCCGGTCTCCTGTTTCACTCACACAAGACTTCTCTCACTCCCTACACAGTTTTCGGCCATCCATGATTATTGTTTATGCATTAAGTGTAGTAGTAACGTTCACAATGATCAATTTTCTATTTCTGTGTAACTCTCATAATAACTATTAATTATTACTATTTTATTCATAATAATAAAATTATTAATAATAAGTGTATTTGGCACGATTAGATCAGTTAATGAAGTTTTATTTAAACAAGTGATTTACATAACCTTAAAAGTACTCAACACGTGTCACGAACTCCAACCAACAACGGCTTTTGTGTTGTAAGTATACTTTTTTTATATAATTATTTGAATTTTTTACAACTATTGTTTCAATTTTTTTTTTTTTTCATAAAACTAATATTTTCGCTATAATCCTGGCCATAATTATAATTAGAACGTTTTCCATCATTAAGTAATTTCATTAATTCTATTTATATGCGTTTTGTAGACTAAGCAATGCCAAGAAAAGGCAAAGGGGCTGATTTGAGCCGTAATACAAGAAGGTCCAGAAGTATGAGAGATAAAAGATCCCAAAGAACCGATGAACAAGTCCAACAACAAAATGCTGATGCACGTGAGAGCATTCAGCAATTGTGTCAAGAACAATCAGAAAATACACGAGCTGAGCGTAATAAAGTTATACGTTTAGAACAAGGACAATCACGCCGTTTTACGGTTAATAGACGAAGAACAAATGACCAACAACGCCAACAGGTACATCGTGCATTTACATCGGATTCATTTTTGCGTCTAGCTTTCCAGTACGAGTCCGATATTGAATATTATGCTCATTCAAAAGTGGTAATTGGTGCTATGGATAAGGAATGTCCGCATTGTCATGCTCTCAAATTCAAAAATGAGCCACCTGGGATGTGTTGCGCGTCAGGAAAAGTGCAACTACCTGAAATTGAAACACCACCTGAAACATTGAATGGTTTACTTATCGGCACGGATCCAGATTCTAACGTATTATATATCCAGACGTCAACAGTTTAAATTTGAAGATACAACAGTTGTTGCCAGGGAACTTGGTATCATACAAATCTATTGATACAGTTTGCGATGCCAGCGAAGCTGTCAATTTTCCCACAGAATTTTTGAACTCACTGGATTTGCCAGGCATGCCACCGCATAATTTACAATTGAAAGCTGGATCTCCAATTATCTTGCTTCGTAATTTAAACCCGCAACGGCTGTGCAACGGTACGCGATTAGTCATTCGAAAATTGATGAAAAACGTTATCGAAGCCAGCATTTTAAATGGCAAGTTCAAAGGTGAAAATATATTAATACCACGGATTTCTATCATACCTACAGATGTGCCAATTCAATTCGAACGAATTCAGTTTCCGATTAGATGGGGCATTTGCAATGACAATCAACAAATCCCAAGGCCAAACGATGTCTATTTGTGGCTTAGATTTGAGTACACCATGTTTTTCACACAGGCAATTGTACGTAGATGCTCTCGAGTGGGTAAACCGTCCAGTTTGTTTGTGCTCGCTAAAGATGGGCTAACAAAAAATATTGTTCACGCTATAGCATTAAGAGATTGATTTTGTTTGTTAGGGTTACTATCGTAATTAATATGTGATATGTAATTATAAGTAATAAACTATAATAACTTGAAAATAATATTGTTTGGCGTTTGTTATTTTTATATTCCCTTATCGTTTATAGCGCTCCTCGCCCATTTCACGCATATAACACATACTTACACACTTATAATAAGTAAGGAACTTTTTGTCTACACTAGAATTTATCTAGAAACTAGAAATAATTTATAAGGCAAAACAGCGTTTGCCGGATCAGCTAGTATATACAATGATACATGCAATAGCAAATTAATCGTTGCTGTCTTATACATCGATCTATTCTGTGGAGATTTAAATATACCTCTTCGATAGAATTGCTGCCGATAGCATGGGTTAAATTGAGAAAAGGAAATTCAACAGTTACGCCTTTATTACGGAATATACAGAAATTAAATTACCCCTGCATAAAAGCTTACAGTTTACTGCCCTCCACATACAACAATCATTTGTAGGACACCTTGTGTTGAGTAGACTTTAGAATTCGGACACTGCCGCGCGCATGGACATATGGATTAAGAAATCTGGTAGTGCAAAGAGCAGAGAAGTAGTAACGAATAGTAAATTATAACAAAAGCCGCTTGTTAGAACTGATTAAAATAATATAAAATTTCTACTTCTGTGACAGAGGGATTGTATCAAAACAGCGTTTAATATTTTTTACAAATATACGAAGTAACTTAATTTTTGCTTATCGTTGCAACAAAAAAGTATCGGCCAGTAAGTAAAAAATTTAATTTCGCAGTAATATACCGAAAAAAAACGAGCACATAGTTTAAAACAAAATATATAGAAGTTATCAAAATATCCAATTCAAAAGTGAGTTTTCAATTAAAATAAATGACGGTTGCGTTTCGATTTTCAATGACGGTTTTCAATTAGTTATATCTGATGTGCAAGATATCGTCAAGATATTTTGATATATTTAGGGATGTTTCATTCATGAACCTTGAAAATACGCATGTCCGAAAAAAATGAATCCTGAAAACATTAACTATGTGCGATGAGAACGCACTGCAGACAAATAAATGTTTTTAGTAATATTGGATTTCATAGTTTCGTTCGTAGATTGGCGTCACCAAATGCTTGAGTCAGGTTCATGAAATTGTGTAACACCAATACTTATATTTCCTAGTTTTAAAAAGGCATTAACACACTTGGTCATACTTTTAATTAATCTAAAACTAATTTATTTAAACGTATTTTAGCGAGTCGAAGACACAGAATTGGAGATGTATTTGCCAAAAATGTTAGATTATGCGGTGTTCATACAACTGCATCAACTTCAGTGTGATTTTTATAATGATTATTGTAATAGACAACCCGCAGCCGATAAAACAGTGTCTACCTTTCTCAAAGACGTCCACATGCTTCAATATATAGGCGCACATCCCCAGTTGTTAAACGTTATAGAAGCTTCTAAAAATAAAAAAATCAAACAACAAGATGTTATTTGTGAAGACGATGAAATTATTGATATGGGAAATTGGTGGAAAGATAAAATGCCTGCTGATGCTCCTGAAAAGCTTGAATATGGACATAAGATGTTAGTTTTGATGACGATTTTAGAAGAATGTGAGGAGGTTGGTGATAAATTGTGAGTAGTTTATAATATTTTTAATTTTACGTATTGCACCCCGATATTATCGTCTAAATGTTTATTAAATAAAATCTCTATTTGTTTTTGAAGCATTAGAACTATAATTCATTATAGAGTCATCGAAAACAAATTGATATTACAATATACATTATAGTTAGGCCTATAATTTTGACAGAAACTTGTGGAGTTACTGGAAACGTTACGTGGAAACTAAGTAAAAATGGTATTTAACGTAGCAAGGTCTGAACCGCGTCGATTATCACTGCGCCGAGCATTCGACATCGTCTTTGATGTCTTCTTCATGGCTTCCGACGTCTCAGTCTCCCGAGTCCCAGACACTACTACACTGAGCACTAATTAATGCATTACTGCCACTGGAAACACTGGACGGTTCAGTTATACCGTCGATGGTGATGTGGTTTGGGTGGAGGTTGGCGTAGTGGTGGTTGGCGCGCGGGTTGGCGCAATCATTTCTTAACCGGATGCCGGCATCTTTTTTATTAAGACAATTTGGCCTTTTTTCAATTTCTATAGCTTCTCGGATAATACTTGGTTTATAGAAGCGGATGGGAGCTATGGTTCTGGAGTTTTCAGTTTGTGACCGGTATGAAGATGGTGTTGACCTAGAACTGAAATTGAATCGAAATTGGGAACAGAAATGGAATGTTTATAAACCCTATTTTGGATTCTACGATTTGTTTGGCTTATATAAGATCGACAGCAGTCTGCCCAAGGAATTTCATAAATTCCATGTTATTCATTTGGAATGTTGTCTTTGATTGATCGGACAAAGTATATTGATTGGTGTGGGAATGATGAGTGGGAGGTAATACTTCAAAAGAAGGAAGGCTTGTTCCCAGGTCTGCCCTGTTTAAGATTTTTTCGATGGGTTTATAAAATTGTTAGTTTTAATTTAGAAAATTTTGTTTGGTATTCTGAACTGTAACTATACAAATGGCATTACAAATGCAATATATAAAGTTGGATTTTATTAGCGATCATAAATATGAATTTATATAGTGAAAATGAGCCATTCTTACAGAAATTCTCAATAACGTAACCTAAGAATCTTTTTCCTCGATCTCTACAACACTCTGATTCTTCAGTGCTATTTCTTTTATTTATTTAGTTGTCTTTTTAGTGCCTGACCTAGCTAACTAATTCTATGAGATTTAATAAAATTTATTATATCGGCGTGATTGATTCACTCGTCAAGTTCAGATTCTGTAGATAGATGTCATTAACCTCTAAACAGGTCCAAAAATTTTCATCGGCACCTCTCTTTTGAAAAGGTTTATCTCAACTTTGTCTTTCTTCGACAGAGTTCATGTTTCACAATATCTTATTAGTAGAGTATAAATTAGGTATAAAGTAGGTAAAGTTAGATGAAGTTTATTTAATTCAGAATCATCATCATAATTATGGCTTTACAACTCTGCGTGGGTCCTAGCCTCCTCAAGAATTTCTCTCCAATCGTCCCTATCCATCACCTTTTTTCACCAAGCACGTATTCCCATATTTCTCATGTCTTCATCGATGTTATCAAGGAACCTTGTTCTTCTTCTTCTTTGACCAATGGGTCTATTAAGGAGCGTTTTTATAGCTGGGTCATTTTGTTCCATCCGCATTACATGTCCTACCCACTTCAGACGTCCTATCTTAATATTGTACCGTTTTTAAATAAAACGAGCGGTTCGAATTTATATAAATATATTTATTTATAACTTTACAGTTGGGTATTCTCTTATCAACTAAACTTACTCCTAAGGTCGTTACATATATATACCTAAGTTACTATGTTCTAGAAAGTTCCCACCTCTAATTCGCGCACGTGGCCCATTGTTCTCTTGCCTTCGAGAGATCTGGTGATGATTCTGGAAGCCGTTTCGAGATGCAACCGTTATATGAGTCATGCCGAAAGCATGTTCATAACACTGCTCCCCTCTAAGATCTGAGCGTCCCGATCAGCAACTCTATATGTAGGCCCAGGATGGCGGAATCTACAGGACTCTCCAGCTCTGCATGAACCCCTCAGAAAGAAATAACAGTCTACTGTCTTTGAAGGACACGATCTCTTCGGATTAGTGCAACACACAGTAATTCGTACGCTGGTTTCTCGGAAGATCACTTCAAGCATGCTTCTGACAATCTTCCAATCGAGATTATCTAGTGCATGGCCTATCTTGGGTAAGGCCAAATTCTTAATGTCGTAATTGCAGACGATTTTCTTCAAATTAGTTAGAGCACACCATATATCCTCGTAGGTTGCCCTAGCTGTATACGACTTCCTGGTCACCATATACAGCAAAGATCGAGAACCATCTTCTAATCTCAATACTCTTCCAACTTTAGGCTGCTGGTTTTTTAACTCGTCCAAACGACCGAACTTCTTATAAAATACAGATGAGATTCCTTTAGTCATCTCAAGATCTTGGGAAACACAGTGGGCTAGAGAGACGTTATGCGGAACACTAAAAAGATCCTGCCTGTCGTCACGCCGAATCTAGCACTCTTTCTCTCTGCGTAATTTGACATAAACTCCTTAAAGCTTGGTCGCCGATCATCTTTGCTCTTATTTTGAAGGGTTCGGACTTCTTCGGTTTCATTTGAGCCAGCATAAGGTGCAAGACGATTTATGTGAACTACTTTAGGTTTACCTTTCGGCAACTTCTTAATTCGGTATATTACGTCATTTATTTTCTTTTTAATTTCATACGGACCCTCCCATTGTCTTTGCAGTTTAGGAGACAAGCCACGACGACGTTGTGGATTATAAAGCCAAACAAGATCACCTACTTCATAGCTTTCATTCTTGCATCGAGAATCGTATTGATCTTTCATTCTGTCACTGGCTAACTGGATGTGTTGTCGGGCAAGTTCATGAATGTTGTTCATTCTTAACTTTAGGCGGTCGACATAATCTTCGCTTGCAACATGTTCTTCAGAAGGTCTGCAGCCAAACTCTAGGTCGCAGGGCAAACGAACTTCACGACCTAACATCAGGCAGGTTGGAGTCTGGCCCGTAGTTTCATTCACGGCCGAGCGGTAGGCCATTAGGAATAAATGAATGTGCTGGTCCCAATCTCTTTGATGTTCTGATACAACTTTGGACAGGTGTTTACCCATCGTTCGGTTCATTCTCTCGACCATTCCATCTGATTGAGGATGAAGGGGTGTCGTTCTGGTCTTATTGACACCAATCAATTTACAAACGTTTTGGAAAAGGTTTGACTCGAAGTTTCGCCCTTGGTCGGAGTGGATCTCCAAGGGAACACCAAATCGGCTAAAGAATTCTTTAACCAGTACCTCTGCAACGGTAGCAGCTTCTTGATTTGGTAGCGCATAGGCCTCAGTCCATTTCGTAAAATAATCCATGGCTACCAGGATATATTTATTTCCATCATTTGTCTCTGGAAGTGGACCTGCAATGTCGATTGCTACTCTTTCCATAGGACTACCAACATTGTACTGTTTCATGGGTGCCCTCTTTTTACCAACTGGACCATTACTGGTTGCACACAGTTCACATTTCCGGCACCATCTTCTTACATCATCTTTACAGTTCACCCAATAGAACCGTTCTTGAACCTTTTGCAGAGTCTTCGTAATACCAAAGTGTCCACCTGATGCACCGTCATGCAACTGACGCAATACTTCTGACACTTTACTTTTAGGTACAATTAACTGAAGCTTAGTTTCTGTACCATCATCGTTCTCAAAGGTTCTATACAGAAGATCATCTTTCAGCACTAGGCAATTCCATTGGCTCCAGTAACACTTGACTTCGGGACTACATGCACTAATGTCTTGCCAAGAAGGTCTTTCACTTCGACGCACCCAATCCAATACTCTTTTTATACATGGATCATCTGCTTGAGCGTCTTGTAGCTGTTGAGGCTGCCATTGATCATTAATAACGGTGGTTCGCCTCACGGGGCAAAGTCGTTCTTCTAATTTAAGACAATGATTACGATTTTCACTGTATGGCCGTCTTGATTGAACATCAGCATTTGAATGACTTTTTCTAGCGTGCTCGATCTGTTCTAGCTTTCTGACTGATGTATTATTTTCTTGCACTTTGTGGCGAATGTGACCTTCGTTGTTACCATTCCAACATCTGGGTTCACGTCTCTTCGGCATCATGTTACGAACTACTTTCCGTACGATTTCCTCCAGACGTTTATCGTTTCGTTCGTCACTCTTCAGAGGTTCGTACTTGATCCGTGAAACTCGACTAGCTATCTCATGTTCCAAGGCAATGGCGAGCGCTTCATCTAAAACTTTCGGTCTTGCTAGTCGTAAAGCTTTCTGTAGTTCACTGTCTCTCAACCCATTGACGAAGGCATCTACAGCAATTTCTTCCAAAATGTTGTCTGGTGCCTCTGGATAGGCCAACAGCGCTATACGAGCAATATCTGCTTCAAATTCTTGCAAACTCTCACTTGCTCGTTGAATTCTACTTCTTATTTGTACTTTGTAGACTTGTTGTAGATGGGCATCTCCGTAATGTTTGTCTAGTCTAGTGAACAAGGTCTGGTAACATTTTTCTTGACCCTTAGGAATCGATCTTAGGATATCTGCAGCATCACCTCGTAAAGCAGCAGTCAAGGAAACAGCCTTTTCTTGTTCTTTCCAATGATTGGCTGTTGCAATAGCTTCAAATTGTCTAAGGTATATGGACCAAGAGGACTTTCTATCAAATGGTGGCAATTTGAATCTCATATGATGTGTCATTTCGTCTCTAGGTGATTCTTCTTTCACTGTCGGTTCTAAGGCTACTGTGTTAACTGGTGGTAGCATTTTTGTGTTAGTTATCATGCTCTCTAACTGTTTGATCTTCTCTTCTACTTTATCGAATGTTTTAAAAATTTCTTCAAATTTCTCATTGTTCTGATTACATATTTCTTTAATAATTTGTGAAGTCTCGTCGTTTTGTCTAGCTACTTCTTTAATAATTTGAGACGTTTCATTGAATCTTTCGTCATTTTTTTGGAAGTTTCTTCAATCATTTGAGAGACGTTTTCAAATTTTTTATCATTTTTTTTAGAAGTTTCTTCAATCATTTGAGAGACGTTTTCAAATTTTTTATCATTTTTTCTGGAACTCTTCGATCTTCATTAAAACTGCTTCTTCTGCTTATTGAAAATGAAATGTCTCTGGGTCATCTCCATTCTTTTTAAGAACATTCTTTAGTCGTTCTTGGAGGATCTTCTTGGACCCGCTGCAGTCTTCATCACGTTCTTCTAGTTGCTCACGCAACTGTTTCACTGAAAGTTCTACTAGCAGCATCTTTGGTCAGGCACACACGTACTTTTTAAATGTTCTTTCGTACAACGATCACTACTGAACTACGCGGATGGTCCCGACAAACAATGCTTTTCAAAAGTTCAAGTCTTTTTCAAAAATCACTGTTGAATTTATATTCAAATCAATTGTCCTCACACGGTGACACCAACTGTACCGTTTTTAAATAAAACGAGCGGTTCGAATTTATATAAATATATTTATTTATAACTTTACAGTTCGGTATTCTCTTATCAACTAAACTTACTCCTAAGGTCGTTACATATATATACCTAAGTTACTATGTTCTAGAAAGTTCCCACCTCTAATTCGCGCACGTGGCCTATTATTCTCTTGCCTCCGAGAGATCTGGTGATGATTCTGGAAGCCGTTTCGAGATGCAACCGTTATATGAGTCATGCCGAAAGCATGTTCATAACAATATGTTTTACGATATCAGGTTCCTGGTATATTCTATAAAGTTCGAAGTTGTATCGTCTTCTCTACACTCCATTGTTATTCACTGCTCCATAGATTCGCCCGAGTTTAATTCAGAAACCCTAAGAAATATCTAATGATGTATTATTGGTAAAATTACTTCATTGTTTTCAGGCTGGTGTTTTCACAGAAAATCATTGAAATGGATTTGATTGAACATTTTCTTACGAAGATCGGCACTAAAAAATGTAGTTCCTGGAGAAAGAAAGTAGATTATTTTCGGATGGATGGTACAGTGAAACCAGAAGAACGCTCATTTATTTGTGATAAGTTTAACGACAAGAATTCAAAAGTTAAGTAAGTATAAAAATTGTCGGAAAAACATGATATTGCTTTCCTTTTATTATTATTGATATCTTTATTTGTTTTGAGTATTCTTTTTTCAATTACTCAAGACATCTAATAGGCTTTTTCATCGTGTACGAGTGCATGCGCAACCGCCATGTTTTTCGTACTATTTTGATCAACAATTGAGGGATTTGACATCATTACTTGTCATAGATATTTTTCTTTGTTACTTATAATTATTATAAGGCTTTCCAAAGCCTTTATAAATAAAGGCTTTGTAAAATTTATAAAATAATATGTATTGTCTTTAAATGTTTTATAGCATATCACATCACCCATACTCCATAACGACACCGCTTCATTGTACTTTTTCGTAGAGGTATCAAATGTTGGCGTTTAAAAGGTTAAACATTGGTGAGATTCTGTCGCGCTGTTTCAAAATGGCGATCATCAAATTGTAAAAATTACCATAAATTGCCTATGGACTCAATGAAAGAATAGCAAAATAACGAGTTCTTGTTTCTAGTAAAAAACTTAGTCTCATAACAGCTTTCAAATGATGTGTAATGTGTCATATATTTTCATTCAAGGAAAATTTCGATTAAGTCGTTTTTGACAGATTTAACTAAACAAATGAATTTTATCAGTATATGGGAAACTTGAAAAATAAATTTTTGCTGTTTGAGCGTTTCTAATAAAAACTGAAGAACTTTAAATGCTCAGGAGTAATTGATACCATTTTTACACAGTGGTCATTGAAAATTGAACGGTTATCACTTTGCAACTACGCCATACAGTTGCAGAAGGATCTATGTACATAATAAGGCCACAAGAGCCTTCAAATAATACTTGTTGTCCGCGTTCTTAGCAGCGTTCTTGGACCAATATTATATGTGCTATACACAGCAGATCTACCCTCCACTAATGAAACCATCACTGGCACGTTTGGACATGATGCTGTCATCCTTGCAGCCGACGAAAATCCAATTATAGCATCCAACATTCTACAGGTACAACTTAATGAAATCGAGACATGGTCTTACAAGTGGAGAATTAAAATGAATGAAAAATCAGTCCAAGCGACTTTTACGTGGAGAAGAGACCCGTGTCCCCCAGTTTCACTTAACAATATCCAACTTCCCCAATCCTCTGGCACTAAATACCTAGGAATACATCTTGACTCAAAACTCACCTGGAAAGAACATATTCTTAAGAAGCGGAAACAAATTGACCTAAGAATGGAAAATCTAAACTGGTTAGTAGGCAGGAAATCGAAACTGAGCCTTAAAAACAAAATCCTTGTATACAAAACCGTCATAAAACTTATCTGGGCGTATGGAAAAATACTCCGAACGATAACTGATGCACCTTGGTATGTGTCAAACCTAACACTTCATGAAGACCAAAGAATCCCGTACGTACAGGATGTAATCACTAGATACAGCACGAAACACCATGAAGCACTGGAATCACATAGTAACCCCTTACTTCAACCTCTGCTAGAACACCAAGCCAATAGAAGACTCAAAAGGAACTGGCCAGCTGACCTGAAAAATGGTTAAAGTGGTCTTGTTACTGGAGAAGACCTCACTACGCCATAGGAGCCCCTTGCTCCGCAGTCAGCAAATCAGCTGATAGAACTTTATTTGTGTTTTGATTGCTAAAGATTGTGTCATTAAAAATACTTGCCATATAATGCCATTTAAAATATAATTTTAAAATAATTTTAAAAAATTGCGCCTCCCCTATTTTGAATTATTATACTAAAACCTAAAACTTTATACAACATGTACATGTCCCTTGATTCAGTTACCCAAAAAAATTATGTCTTGTTTAATAGTTCAGAAAATAGGTGCGGTGAGCGGAATTTACCTACACACTATATAAACTAGCATAAAATGATTAAATTTAATAACTTTTTCAGATTACTGTTAATGTCTGTCAAAGTAGGAGGTTTAGGACTAAATTTGACAGCCGCCAATAGAGTTGTAATCATGACTGTTAATTGGAATCCTTCCTACGACACTCAAAGTATATTCCGTGCGTATAGATTTGGACAAACGAAGGAAGTTTATGTTTACAGACTTATAGCATTAGTAAGTATATTTACAATAAATTAAAGTTATTATTTTTAACGAAAAAATATTGTATTTTATAGATATAGAGTCCTTGTCTTTTCAATATCATCATGATAAACTAGTATAAAATGTAAACGGAATGAGTATTGTCTAATATATGAGAAAAAAATATTTGGAAATACCGTGTTATTCTAATGATCATAATGGCTTTGTGACCAGGAACTAAGATATAACATCCAGCAGACCTGCAATGTCTCGTTCACAAAGTGTACCCCTCGTTAAGATAGGCAAAATGCCCTCACTCCCAGAATTAATTTTTTTTTTTATTTTTTTACGTTCTATGTAATTAAAAAATAAGACTCAACTAAATTTTAATAAAAAAAAGAGGTTAAATCTTTGTAAGTGGGTATATTTAAAAAACCCTTAAAAGGGCTACATCAAATTAACACGAACGTTTTCGGAATAATAAATCCGTTAAAAAAGTCTACAATAAGTATAATCCATTTAATTAAAGCAAACGTGGTTGAAAATTTTGACTAAGGTTAAAAAAGCAAAATGGTTATACTTACAGGTTAACATGCCTGATCCACCAAAATATTAGGGTAAAAACTCTTTAAAGTAAATAAGGTTACCAAAGATTGTACATATTGTTGTTAATAATAATTGATGTTTAATATTTAATTATATTTTACTTCAGGTAACATACACCCATGCCTTACGTGAGTACCAGCGTCCGGAGAGTAGACCTCTTCAAACGGACTTCAGCTGGTAACTGATTGACAAGATACCTATGAATGGTGTCGAAAACAAAATGTCAATGTACCATGAAACAGTGTTAGTTATACATAGTATTACTACAGCCAAAAGATTAAAAAACACTGAAAACTTTGTTTTCAAACTTCCACAAAAATTAAATATTATCACTACAGCTGTTTCGGCTGATTGCCTTTCTCAAGTGATCTATTTTGGCTTGGGTTTACAAATTTATAGTCTCTAATGAAATAGGTTGAGGAGGGGAGAACTGTTTGTCTCAAGTTGGTCATTCAGAATTATATCTGTTTTTTAATTTGTTGATTTCCATAGATTCTAACAAAGATAGCTTAAGGCCTTTATTTTATGGATCTATGGAAATCAACAAATTAAAAAACACAGATATAATTCTGAATAACCAACTTGAGACAAACAGTTCTCCCCTCCTCAACCTATTTCATTAGAGACTATAAATTTGTAAACCCAAGCCAAAATAGATCACTTGAGAAAGGCAATCAGCCGAAACAGCTGTAGTGATAATATTTAATTTTTGTGAAAGTTTGAAAACAAAGTTTTCAGTGTTTTATTGTTACATAAAATGAATTTCCATCAAGTAACGGTCGAATCCATCAATTAGATTAAAAAACTTTGATGATGTTAAAAATGATAACAGCAATCCAGGTGTTGGGATTTAAAAAGCTTTTTTTTTATTTAATTATTGAATTTTTGATATAAAAGATGTAAAATTACCGATGGAGTTAAAGGTCATGTTTAAGGGAATGACATTGACAAAATTCAATAATTAAATAAAAAAAAAATTTGTACCGCAAAAATATCATTTTCTCTTTTTACATATTTTTTGTTCGGTATGTTGCAATCAGATTAAAAATTTCAAAAAATTCACACGCATAGCTAAGGCTTTTACAAAACTTTTCTATTTTTGTAGACCCATAGGTTAAGTGTACATAACATAAAAATGTATTTCGAAAAAGCCTATAACTTTTGTTTGGAGATTGCTGCAGGTCTAGGTTTTTTTTTTGTTTTTTTTTGTATTTAATTAAAAACATTAAATTGGATTTTTTCCAGATTTTATCATATTTTTTCAGAACGATACCTTCATCAATGCGTCTTAAATTCGTATGAAATTTTTCCGTCCTCAAAGTAGCAAATACAACCATCGTTTATGCGAAAAACAAGGTTTTCAAGCGTGTTATTCAGGGGGGTTTGACTGATTTTACCCAACGTTTTTACCTTTCTATATATATATATATATATATATATATATATATATATATATATATATATATATATATATATATATATATATATATATAATATATAACACTGTTTTTGGTGGGTTGGAGTCAATAAAAGGGGCTATTTGTTGACTATTTTTTACTCGAGCTTTCAATTGTGATTACAATTTTTATCAAGAGCTTCTAAAAAATACAAAATGTCTTACAAAGTTGAACTAGAAATAAAAATTTTTTTGTTAACTCACCAAATAAAATTAGTTTTTTATATAAAACTACTGCTTACATATTAAATACAAAAAATATTAATAAAAAAATGTCTTATTCTAATAAATGATTCTCTGAAAAATTTTGATGAAGTTTCTTAAGAAAAAAAAATTGAATTTGTAAACAAAAATAGAATAGCTACAACCAGCCTAATTGTCATAAATTTTATTTATGACAATTAGGCTGGTTGTAGCTATTCTATATGAAGAGTTTATAAAAGGTTTTATGGGCCTAAAGTTATTAATTTTTAAAATATTTACACTTTTTAATAATATACGGTTATTTTTAAATAAATTAATATCTTTGAAATCCACCTATACAATACAATGTCATCAGAATAAAATGTCTATTGTCAGAATACAATGTTTTTCAAAAAAATTACGTTTCAACTTAACATTTCTTACGACCACATACAAATTTCATTTTTCTCTGAACATCATTTTTAGTTAATTCCTAGTGCACTGAATTTTAAATAGGTGAATTTTTTGTTACTTTGTTCTTTGTTGTTGCATTTAACTCTGTATTGATGATATTGATATTATTCAATTGGCACGTATTTATATGTGGATTCTTTAATAAATATACCATAACAGTTCTGTTCATTCCCATCTCTGAAAACGTTTTTGGTATTAATCATAAACCATACATACTCAGTATATATTGTTTAAACCATACAATATATATGGTTTGTGGTATTAATGGTTTGAAATATGAAGGAGCGAAGGAACGATGCGATTTAAAAGTTTTACGAAGGCTTTTTGTGGGATGTTTTCTGCGTGGATATCTCTGATCATAAATGTTTAATGTTAGTAAATAGTTTCTAAGGCTAGTAAACACTTCAGTTGAAAAATTCATATTTAAAATATAAAAATTTGTTACAAATATGCAGTAACTACAACAACAATACCAGCTTTTGTGCAAAAGTGGATACTATTTATTTTAATAAATATTTTGACAGATACATTTAACGTTTTTTTAATTCATGGCACACTTTATAACAACTTTGTCTGGGCCATCATAACCTGTTAAAAACTTATAAATGAAACGTATAAAAGTTGAGTGTACATTTAAAGGTCGCGGCATTTTATCATGCACGTGTAGTTTCCGGCAAGTAGCGTTTACAGTCCAGCAATCGGACTGCGCGTTCACATTTTCATACATAGAATGTTTCAGTTTGGTACGGTAATAAATTTCCAGATATTTTCGTTTTTATTTGCATCATAATAGCATTTATCATTGTATTTATATAAAATTTCTACACCGCGCACGAGTTCAATTAATTTTTCGAAATTCATTTTAACTTGTTCTATTAAACTGTAAATAGCAATCCAAAGAGTATTTTTTTAAAAAAGAAGAGGTATCACTTCCTTGCAGAAGTCCTAATTGTTTATCACTTCCGTGTTTAATTGCCATAAAGCAATAAAATCCCATGCATAAATGACAAAATAGCCTCGAAAATTATTTTTAAAATACTCATAATTAAACATTAGGTTTAATTTACTAATGTTTGTATTTTGATAACGATTTCCGAAGTGGAAATTGAAATGTCAATAAACGTACTTTAACGTTTAATTGTAGCTTATTCCCATTTAAATAGTAATTACTTTAAAATGCCACAAGAAAATAGCTTCAGATCAATATTCTGAATATCCTCTTCTGATTCGGCAATAATTGTTGCATCATCTGCGTAACACACCATACTAATTCTTTTGTTGCCTATTCTGTATCCGAGATTGAGATATGATATTTGGTTTATAATTTTGCCCATGAGTAGGTTGAACAAGAAGAGGCTTAAACTGTCGCCTTGTCTAATTCCTTCCGGTGTTGGAATATTTTCAGTGAATTGGTCTCCTGGTCTAACTTTGGTTACATTGTTGTTATTTAGGTTATGGACTATCTTTGTTAAGTTGGTCGATGTTTTATTTTCTATTAATATATTTCTGTGGTGTTTGGGAGAAACATCATAACTCCAAAATAGCGAAAATTTTGTTAAGCCCTGCACTGCATTTTGTTTTTGATCTATTTTCGTTTGATCTGACTATGGTATGTCTATCGCGTCTAGAAAATGAGCCACGGCTTGGTATAATATTGATAAGTCCCTATTATTCAAATTTTGTTTGGTATAGTCCTGTTAAAATATTATATCATGTACCCGTAAACAAAACTAAACAATAACGTTTTGGTTCATATCTGATAATTGGTACTTATCATGTCTAGATCAAATAATATGCACATTCTTTTCGTAAAACATTTTGGTCCATATGTGATAATTGGTACTTATCATAGTTATATCAAATAATATGCAAATTATTTCGGTAATTTTATGCTATGTCCCACTTAACATCTTTGATTCAAATAAAAATATTTTCTTTAAGTGGCATTTTCTGTAAGTTTTTTATGTAAGTGGCAAATATCAAACTTTTCTTTTCGTTGTTTTGTACTTATCATAATTATTCATGAGCATTTGGTCGTATTCACGAACGTGTCGATTGCATTGTATTAGCGTTAAAGTCTATCGATGACTCGTTAGTTACACTTAGTCAGTAAGTCAGTATTAAAGTCAGTTTGTCTAAATCTTTCGAAGGCGAATGACGCAGTAAATGCGATCGAGTAATTTGGTAAACTTGGCTTATAATACAAGTTTTCGTATTACAAAAATAATTGAGATGTGTTTAGTAGAAAATTAACAGTCGTCTTCTAATAATGTAAGTATTAAGTTTGATAGTGTAGAACTGACTGATGTTGAAT